TTGATGTTTGGATTTGGGGAAGAGTATCACTTCTCGTACGTTGTCATTGACTAGGCATACTGCTGCCCATTGCATCTGCCTATCACCCACACATCTCTTTTTTCATCTCTCTCTCTCTCTCAATATCTCGTAAATATTATCTTTATGCCAAGTCATTGATTTATGTATTTTGTGCATTTGACAGGATGGCTCCATCCAGAATTCACGTTACATGTGCTTTAGTCTATGACAAAATGCCAACAGGACGCGTTCATAAAGGAGTTTGCTCAACTTGGATGAAGGTATGCTTTGTTGTGTCTTGCTTTCATCTTCATGTGCAAAGATGACTGATATAATTCCGAGAAGCTATAACTTTTTATTGTTACCCAATATTAGATGAATAGCATTAGTTCTGATTCCTGAATAATTAAAGTTTCTTAGCATCTTTAGATGTCTATTTAGTAAAGGATTTATGTTAGACTTGGGACGTTGTGGATCATATTATCTTTTCCTACAATAGCTTGGCTATTCTTCGGCTTAATAGTATAAGTTGAAGGTTTTTTTCATAGAAATTTGTGTACGGTGATTTTTATGGAAGCAAATATAGGGTGATTTCTGGCCATATTTGAGAATTTAACAATTTTTCTGCATTCGTTAGAATTCTGTGCCCATGGGGAAAAGCGATGAATGCAGTTGGGCTCCAATTTTCGTGAGGCAATCAAACTTCAAGCTTCCTGCAGATAGTAAAGTGCCTATTATCATGGTTGGTCCTGGAACTGGATTGGCTCCTTTCAGAGGTTTCTTACAGGTTTCTACTTGCGAACTTGCCTCTGAGACCCTTGGCTTACTTTTATCTGACTTATGCGCTTCTAGAAAATAAAGAACTTCAAATATTTTCTCTTCAGGAAAGATTAGCTTTGAAAGAATCTGGTGTACAATTGGGGTCTTCCATATTGTTCTTTGGATGCAGAAACCGTGGAATGGTATGCCAAGTTCCTAGATTAAAGCTTGTATTCTGGCTGTTGAAGAAATACATTGTTGTTTGTTTATTTATAGATTTTCAAACTAATGCATTTTGTCTACTTTTGAAGGATTATATATACGAGGATGAGTTAAACAACTATCTTGAGACTGGTGCTCTCTCCGAGTTGGTTATCGCCTTCTCACGTGAAGGGCCAACAAAGGAATATGTGCAGCATAAAATGGCAGAGAAGGTGAAAAGATAATGTTAACAAGGGTGTAGCCTAATATGATTATGTGTTCATGGAAGAAGATATTAAAGCCCTTTCCTCCGTTTAAACATGCAGGCTTCAGACATCTGGAATTTGATATCACAAGGTGCTTATTTATATGTATGTGGTGATGCAAAGGGCATGGCCAGGGATGTCCACCGAACTCTCCATACTATCGTGCAAGAGCAGGTATTTTCATTTTCATGAGTGCCTCCTAATTCCTTTTATCGTTACCCTTTAGAGCTTAATATAGCTCAGCCATCCAACGGTTCCAAATTTGTCGTTTGTGCATATATAATATCGTTGGTGGTGTATTATTCTAAGAACAGCTGGTGGATATTAAATTTCAGGGATCTCTTGACAGCTCAAAAGCTGAAAGCATGGTGAAGAATCTGCAAATGAGCGGAAGGTATCTGCGGGATGTGTGGTGATTACTCCTCACCCATGTGATCTCCAAGAGGCATATTGCGGAATATTTAATAAAAAGTAAATCTGGTTGAATGAATGAATGAATGAATGAAAGAATTATTGAGTCCCTTTGTCAACCTCCCTCTAAGATGGGACACTCTTCTCAGCATGGCCAGAGGTTATGATGATATTCTCTCCTTTTCTGTCTCCCATTTGGATCTACAGCTAAATATGAAGTATTCTTTTGTTCTTATAATTTATAGAATACAGCAGATGTAGTCATTAGTTAGAGCTCTCTCTTCTGTTAGTGTTCTTGGACCAACCAACCAACCAACCAACCAACCAACCAACCAACAAGATGGTTCAAGACTTCAAATTCATACATACTTTGCTGTAATATTAAACGGATGGATGAAATAATTGAGAATTTTTGTGTTCATAATTGTTTCTGTTTCATATCTTATGTATCAATCCCTAGTGCTCTGTCTCCGTCTCTCAAACTGGCAAATCTATCTACTAAATCGCTTGAATTGACTATTGAATTTTAGTTTATAAATCAAGTAAATGCAAGCGGTGATGACGTGGCGTGTTATTGGCCGTTGGTTTAGCAGTTGCGTTGGGTGGGTAGTTTCTTAATGGAATGGAGGTCGCAGGCTTTTGTAGATTCACCTACACCATGCCCTTGCACCCCTTCCATTTTCAAAGATATACAGCATCTTCTTTAGCATTCAAATTTCAGACACAGGTTCGCTAGTGACCCAATTTCAGCTAAACTCTCAAGTTTGTGGCAGGCAATCAATAAATAATTAGTTATAATTATTCAAAAATTAATTAAATGTTTTCGCAAATTAATATCATTTGGTTAGTTAATTAATGACTATAAATTATATATAGAATTAAAACAAATGAACAATTCACACTTTTAGAAGGATAAAAGATGAAGACTAAGTCGAGAGTAAAAGTTGTTTTCAGGATAATAAAAAAGTCTTTTTTTTTTTTTTTTTTTGTTGGTTTGGGCTGTCTTAGCTTAGGCCCAAATTACTGTATTAGGGCCCAAAAGTGTAGTTGGGCCAAGTAGACAGAATGGAAGTTGAGTGAAAGGGTAATTAATATGTTTTGAGTAATTAAATTGCTGTATATGATTAGCTTAATGTTTTTACAAAAAAGAAAAAATGGATAATTATAGAATAAAATATTTTAGGAATTAAATTATTGAAAAAAGAAAAAGAAGAGATTATTAGGTGAGAAATGTAAAGTAGAAGGAAAGGAAGGTTGATTGGAGTCTTTGATTTATTTAGTATTAGAAATATAATGTAATGTGATCTTATAATCAATGCTTTGACTAACCTCACCAGTCAACATCTTTTAGTTTGACCAATTTCTCTTATTTTCTGAGTTCTGACACTTTTGCACATGTGGCCGAACATTATTGGCTACTACTCTGACAACAGTTTTTCTTTTTTCTTTTTAAATTACAATTAACTGTTATCATGTATTTATTGCATTCCTCAAAGTCTACATTTTCATTATAAACCCAACAAAATATTGTGCACAATCTTCATTCTAAACTAGTCAAGCTTCAACCACGTCTCGGCTTATGGCCTCTCATTCTTACTTTTCTTGAGCTTTTGATGGCACATTCAAGAGACCGATGGATCCTCTGCCTCCTACAAAGATGGAGCAACAAAAGTTTTGAGAATTTGAATAGAAGATCACACCAGAGATGAACCATTTATCATCATGATAGGTGTCAAGTGGAAATGAAGTGATTTATGCCGTTGAGGCATCCTACCAGAGGTAGACTTGAACCTTGTTTCAACGTGACTCAATCAATTCAATTACGCACTCCCCATCTATTTTCTTTATTCAACTCTTTGATAACACAAAAAAAATCGAGAAAAAAAAAAAAAAAAAAACTACCCTCCCTCTCTATCTATCCAAGGAATAGAAGAGCAGAAACCTTTGGTGTCCCATCCCAGTCACAATCACTATCTAATATGCTTTTCTCATGTCGCCCCCATTTAGTGGTTCCCATGTCATTACAATGACGTACCATCGAAAGAGTAACTGGAACCAATTCCTTGGTAGCTCAATACATGTACTCTTTACCAGATTATGCATTCATACCACAAGACTTTACAACTCAAGGTGCGTTTTTTATACCCATCATGAATATATAGAAGACAATTAATCGACGGGTTAACCAATCTAGGGTTCGGTCAAGAGCTAAAGCTTGCTTTCTTCCATGTCCCACCTCTGACTTTTTCTCGACCATTTAATCTACTTTATAGAGTCTAATAGTACATCATAAAATATTCTATTTGTTCCAAATTTAACATCAAATTTTAGTAAGATGTTAACAAGTTTAATTAAATGTTGGGAAAAGGTCAAATAAATGAAAAAGATGCACTCAAAATTCTTCAAAATGTATTTATGAATAAACTTTTTATTTATTTATTTATTTATTTATTTATTTTAAAAGTCTAGAAGGAAGCCATGGATACCAAAGGCATTACCTTTTATTGGCTCAAATGTCAAGTTTGGACAAAACTAAACTTCAATATTCAGTAACCTCCAATTCTCTTTTTGCCCTTTTCCTTTTCCATTTTTTAAATGCTTTATTATTTTACAATCTCATTTATAAAAATGGATTTCTTCCTATGTTATTTATTCAAGCCATTTTCCTTATTTAAAATATATATATATATATATATATATATATATATTTGCCTTAAAAAGCATTTAGTTTTTTGAAGTGTTTATTGTTGGATGATGAAAGTCCCACATCGGTTAATTTAGGGAATGATCATGGGTTTATAATCTAAGAATACACTCTCCATTGGTATGAGGCCTTTTGGGAAGCCCAAAGCAAAGCCATGAGAGCTTATGCTCAAAGTGGACAATATCATACCATTGTGGAGAGTCGTGTTCGTCTAACATAGTATCAGAGCCATGCCCTAAACTTAGCCGTGCCAATAGATTGACAAATTCTTAAATGTCGAACAAAGGAGTCAAGCCTCCTCGAAGGTACGAAGGCAGTCAAAAATGACTAAGACTCCAAAGGAGTCGAGCCTCGATTAAGGGGAGGCGTGCTTTGTTCGAGGGGAGGTGTTGGATGATGAAAGTCCCACATCGGTTTTTAGACTTTTTTTTTTTTTATTATTAGTTTTTAGAAACGGTTATACATTTCTTATTTTTCTTAAATTTTGGAAAATAATAAATGGGTGTTTTAATCTTTAAACTTGACAGATAATAATAATATCTAAAGAAGCATAGTTTGAATTTTATTCCTTGAAAATAGTATTATTTTTTCCTTTAAGAAAAGGTTGATTTTGGAAGAAAAATCCAAATAATAAAGGGAGCATTGATATCATCTCTGTTTCACGGTTGTGTGTGTGGTGGCTATATATCATTTTCGTCGTCACCAAACTTGGCATAATTCCAAACACTGTCTTTTCCTTTTTATTTGTATCTTCCTTCCACAGAATGTTCATGGACGACACGAGCGAATCCAAGCCCCTAACCTCACAGCACAGACAAGATCACCACCATGACGAAGACGGACACGAAAACGAAGCAGAGGAAGCTCTCTCCTTCTCCGATCTTCCACTCGACAAACAAAAATCCGACGGCCACACTCCGGAGAGCTTCCGCAAGAATCCACGTAGGTCCTCCTCCGAGCCTCTGGATCTCTTTGAATTCTTCAGTGCTGGATTTATCACCTCTGAGATTTCTCCGGCCGAGGATTTGATCTTCTGCGGCAGGTTGCTTCCTCTCAATGACCTTTCTCAGCTTACTACTAGTACTAATCGTACAGCCGACAAGAGTTTCTGGAAGGATGAGAGTCGAAAACAGACTGTCTTTCGAAAGCGCTCTGAGTCATTGTCTGGATTGCAGAGCTCTGTTTCTCGATCGAACACTGCGAAGATCAATCTCAAGCGGAATAGCCGATCGCTCGATTACCGCAAGCTCTATCGCCAAGCGAATTCGATTTTCTCACCGACGGCTGAAATCGATCGTAATTGTTCGATCAAGGCCGGATTGAAGCCTGATCCACTGAACAAAAAGGCTTCGTCAAAGCCGCGGTGGTACTTGCTAATGTTCGGAATGGTGAAGTTTCCAGCGGAGATGGACCTCAGCGACATTAAGAGCAGACAAGTCCGCCGAAGTTCGTCGGCACTCTTTCCGGCGAGCGAGAGTAAAGGTAAATATCACTGCAATAATCGAAGCTCCGGCGAAGCGACTTGGAGGATCCTTAGGGCGCTTAGCTGCAAGAACTACGCTAGTGTAGATGTAACGGCGTCGTTAACTGCCTAAGGTACGTTTCACGTGGATAGCACGTGACTAGCGGTTACATTCCCGTTTCGTACTATATTGCCCCCCATTGATGCTGTGACATTCCAGGACCACGAGAAGGTCAGTATGGGAAATTGAAATTAAAATGAAAAATATCATACGCTTCACGTCCAAGGGAAGGGTAGTGTACAGTGGCGGAGCGTGGGCGATGATGGTGCGTTCTCTTTGCAATCTTTATTTTTATTTTATGTTTATTTTGAAAAAAAAAAAAAAAAAATGGTTTGAGATGAATGAGATTCACGGGAATCATATTTATATTTATATTTATATTTATTAGAATTCTGTGAAATATTCTTTTAAAATCAATATTTTCCTCATAGAAGTTTGCGTTTTCTTAGTAAATGCACTTCACCTTTGAAAACGACCCACACACAATTTATGCCTTCTGCATTTATTACCCTTTTATTTGTCGTTCCATTTAGGTAATCTTCTTCATTTATGTAATGTATATATCATTTAAAAGAATCATTCTAAAAATGCTTTTAATCACGTCAGCTTTTCTTTGCACTTCACACTTTAGCAGAGATAGTAAGGCTCCTCCAGCCCATTATAATAGTGTTCAAAGCTGTTCATATTTTAATTGCATGTCCAAAAAGTGGCCTCAGGAAACTTGTATGTTGGGGAAGATTCATGATTATATATGCCAAACATATTTCATCCACGCCGATGTTGATGTCAACTAGACAACATGATAGGTCCCCTCCATCCAAGCCTCTTCTTGCGTCCAATAATTCCCTATATACATAATGTCAATTCTGACATTAAAATGTATTGTAGCGTAGAAAGGAATTTTAGGGTCCTCACTCTTGAGCAAATCATTTCTTTCATATTATGATGCCAATACAATTATGGCTTCGGAGTCTCATGGAAAGGAGAATCTTTTCCAACACATAATTTCAAGTTTCAAGAAACATAAGTGAGACTTTTTGGATAAAGAAATAACAATAATAAAAAGTTCACCTTCCCCATCCAATCTAATCAACCCATTAGTTGATGACATAAACCTTTTATCTAGATCTAAACTGTCAGTAGGATTTTGATGGTTATCCAAGCACATTAAATTAAATTCTCTCTCGACCATACAAATTATACCGATAACTCAACAGGGGGAAAGAACATAGAACTCGCGCTTAACTACATTAAGCTTTCGCTACTGCCTTTTAAAAAAATGGCAAAACCATCTACCAACCAATGCAATGAAGAAGTTTATAGACATGCAAAGTACAGGCAGCAGCTTAACCTCGATAAATGGAGAGTTTAGACTTTTTTTTCCTTCTCCACTTGATGCACTTGATTGTTATCTTTCCTTGGGTTCATATCATAATCATGAGACTAGATAGTTGGATGTCTAAGATGAGGCAAATCTAGGCAAGTACCGAGGCCAGGAACAAGATTTCTACGACATCCAATCTACCAAACGAATCTAAAAAAATGCATACCTCACTTAGAAAACGAGGAAAGAAAAGCATACCTTCAAGGCTTCATCAGTTGCATGTATAGACACCAGACTCAAACTTGTGATCTGTCTCGTAGAAATCCGTCTTACCCTCAGCAGCCGGCCGTAAGGAAATCCCAGAAAGTGTTCTATAACTCTGAACCGAAAATTTCACATAACCAACCACTTCAAGCTCTTCTCCATCATCTTCCTCGTTCCTATCCACAGGCATCCTTGCTCTCAATCGACCAGGAGCACCTTTCAAAGGAATCTCCGTGACATGCCATTTCAATTCCTTTTCGGACCTATTCAATACAGCTTTTGGAGACACCTTTAACAATGAAGGATCAACCGGTAGTTTTAGAGTAAAAGTCACGTCTTTCAAAGGTAGTGGCAAGTCAGGGTCCACAACGTATTGAACCATCACGGAAAGTAGAGTCCCGCTGTGACGTTGCATGAGACGAACTCTCAAAGGCAATGGGGTTAATCTAGGTAGTAGACTGTATTTGATAATTGGTATGGGTTCCTTTGAAGGCGCTGTTCTCAAGTGAAACATTCCATTTCCAAGGCTGCTAACACTAGAACTCTGCACCACAAATCTCTTAACTGGAGCTGTATCCTCCACACGAAATGAAAACTCTGTCTCTTTGTCATCCGATGTTTTGGGTGGCAAAGTTTTCAAATATACAACCCCCATCATTCCTACTCTTGCCAGCAGCGATTCTCTGAACTCCGCACTAATCTGTTCTATGATATACATTTCGGGACCCTTCATTTCAGTCTTGGTAACCAAGCTATCGAGTGGAGTTCCTGCACCACTAGCATCCCCAACAGCCGCTTTGGTTCCATCACTTTGTCCGGTCTGCAAGAGTTCCAATCCACCAAGGCCTTCTGATTTTTTAACCTTTTCAGGACCCACGAACTCAGATGGATCCAATCCTCCACCCCAAGCATCGCTGAAGCCCTCAAAAGTTTCTTCCATTGTAGCATGATCAGTACTGAATTCTATACCACCATAGTTTCCTTCGAATCCCTCCACACCAATACGTGTTGATTGGGTAGCTTCTGCAGGTGGCAATGTTGGCACCTCAAGACCCGCCAATACCATAGTCAAATCCGTGGCAGAAGGGTCCTTGTTTCTCTTGAACCCACTTATGAGCTCTTCAGGCTTGTTAATCATGTCACTTGCTGCAAATGGATCCTGCTCAATGGCGGGTTCCTCAGTCTTCTGTTGCAGCTGATCCTGTTGCTCATTCACAGTTTGAGTGGCAGGAGCAAGGGATGAAGCTATTTCGTCCCCAGCTTCGAGAGTCTCCGCGGGTAACTCAAATCGCGCATTGGAAAATGCCTGCACATTGGCTTCATGTTCAGTTGAGTGAATCTCCATGGTATTCCAACGGTCAGCCCCTCGAATCTTACTCTCTGTATCCAGAGCCGAATGAACCATTTTCGCAATACCATCGCCGTGCATCGAAGCGAGCATTGCCGCAAGCCGAATATTGCTGACACCTCTTAGAACAATATCCAACGCCATGTAAATCTCGGCGTATTTCCGGCTAAGCTTCTCCGGCGTGACATCAACACCACGACAGGCCGTAACAGTGACATTAACGGCTTGGTTTACGATATGGATACACTCAAAAACATTAACAGAATTATCTTGATCAGCAGTGGTAATCCCAAGGACATAGATGCCATTGACAAGGCGATAGACAACTCGGTAACGGCTCTCCACACCAACAATAACCTGACCATTAGAGGCGGCCAAAGGATGATCACCAAGGGAGGCAATAGAATCGGCGAGCGAGGAATCATCACCAAGGACGGTCGATGCGTTGTGGCTGTGGTGCTTGGTGGCAGCGAAGGCCAAACGTGTCTGGCGGAAGGCGGATAGGGCAACTAGCGCTCGCGGGGGAGGGAACCACTCACGAGTTTGAAGGAGGATATCAGGTCCATTAGCAGGTTGCAGAGCAAGGGCTAAACAGGACATGGCGGAATAATGGATCCAGATCTGACTGCAATAAGGGGGATTGGAATTCTCTGGTCCTACGGCTTTGAAGTCGAATTTGGGAACAGAAATGAAATTGATAGAGATGATCTTCAATTCCGGCTTCTTCAAGGTTCTGGAATCTTGTCCCGACGGAGGGAGGATGAAAGATCGCAGTTGGCGACGAGTCGACGAGTGAGGACTCGGAAATAAAATACAAATAATCAATAGAAATGGTTTTAATTCGATAAAATTTAATAAACAGACAATTATTTAATACAAATCGAAACTACAGCCCAAGCCCAATCCAAAGTTCCCTAAATTGAGAGATGGGCCTGATTGGGCCTACCCGTATTTGCCAGAAACAAAACACAATTCTATTTATTGTTTTTCTTTTATTAAAAAATAAGAAACAAAAATTACGAAATAAAACATGTAAATGTTATATAAAGCTGGTCTTAATGAAAGGGAGAGTTTTGATGGTGATTTTAGGGTGTGGGTTTGTGTCAACCGCAGGTGGGGTTAGCGAGAGAATGGGTTGACAGTAATAATAGGGCATAGATTCAACCAAGGATGGCTGGCTTTGGATGTTGGGGAAAGAGAGGAAATGGGTCATAATGGTGGGTCTCTCAAACAGTTTAGTGGCTGCCCACAAGGTGTTTGATTTAATGTCTGAATGAAAAAGAAGGGTATTTATGCATTGTGCGTCGTTGACACATTTCGAAGTAGGCGTTGTTGTTACCAGCAACGTGGCTTCCGCTATGTCGCATTCATTTGTATGAACGATGGTCGTTTGCCACTCAAAGTGCAAGTGTAAACTCGCAACACTCCCCACTCGAAGTGTAAGATGAATGGAATATTATAACTCTCCTAAACCCTAAACCCGTTTAGGCCGATATAAATTCACATGCATTTAGAGAAATGAATAAAGAAATAGGAAAAAAAAAAGGATGGAAAAGACAGAAAAGGGCAGAGATGAGTCAGGTGTCAGTTATCGCCACGTAGACCAAAGATCTACTCAACTCCACCCATCAAATCTTTCCCTTTCCCATAACTCAACGTCAAAATCAACACCTAAGAATTCCTTCCAATAATAATAAATAATTATCTGACTTTCTTCTTTTTCAACCCAAAATCGTAAAAAGACAAAATTACCCCTCCCTCTTCTATCTTATCCATTCACCATGTTTACATCACTCCTCCTTTCCACTCCCTTTTAATTAAACTATTCCTTACTATAATTTAGATTAATTTTGCAACGAGTTCATTTCATTTCATGAATCTAAAATATATATATATATAAAAAAAAAAGAGCATTAAATTCAGAATAATATGAGCAAAAAATTATAGAAGAGTATCAAATTATAGGGACCCCCCACTTCTCACACCTTTGCATTGGGATCCATGTGTTAAAATCACAAACTTCCATTAAATTAGTCAAAATTGCATTATTTTCATACCAAAATGATGACGTAATATAGATTTCATTATTTTAACAATAATGAAGATAAATAATGTTAAGAAGACTGAATTTTTACCATTTTTATTACTCCGAAGTTGTATTGTTGTCGTCTTTTTCATCGTCTTCCTCTGTTTCTTTGCTGCGATCCTCCTCAAATTCAGACGCTTCTTTTGGACTATCCAGAGTTCTCTTCTCCTGTTCTTCTTCTTCTTCCTCTGAACCCATCTCCTTTTTGCTCAATTCTCTACCATTTTGCTCTGCTCTTGATTTCAATGTCTCTAAAAGCTCTGCTAATGCTCTGTTTTTACAGCGGCGGTTCTTTATGAGAAGCTCACTCACATCCGCCGGCGTCGTCTTTGCCTTATCGATTACCTCTTTGATTTCATTCAACACGGTGCAGTCGGATTCATCTTCGCTGTAGTTTAAGTAATTCTTCAGGAGTATCTTCAATGCCGAGAAAGAACAGTAACTCATGAAAATGTGCATATCCATTCTCCCACTTCGAAGCAATGCAGAGTCAAGCTTCTCAATGTGGTTCGTCGTGAACACGAAAATCCGCTCACTGCCACAGCAAGACCACAACCCATCCGTGAAATTCAGCAACCCAGAAAGAGTAATCGAACCGGCACCGGTTTTCTCGCCGGAAATTGAACTGTAACCACCACCGCCGGATCGGATATCCGGCAAATCGAAGTAGCTTCTCGACCCAGAACTCGGATTTTTCTTTTTCCGATCGGTGAGGTTTATGGAGCAATCGATGTCCTCGATGACAATAATGGACTTAGAAGTGGTTTTCATTAGGAGTTTACGGAGTTCAGAATTGTTGTGTACCTCAGTGAGTTCGAGATCGTAAATGTCGTAGCCGAGAAAATTGGCCATAGCAGCGATCATACTGGATTTGCCAGTGCCAGGAGGGCCGTATAAGAGATAACCCCTTTTCCAGGCCCGGCCTGTCTGTTGGTAAAAGCTTTGACCTTTAGCGAAATCTTGAAGATCTTCCATAATTTGTTGCTTCCTAAGTGGGTCCATGGCCAATGTGTCAAATGTGCTAGGGTGTTTAAATGGCACCGATTCCCATGGATTGCCTCTCGAATCCAACGACCCGCCGCGTGAATTCGTGAACAGACGCCGTTCTTGATTTTTCCGGCGGATTTCTTCGGCTCTGTCCATGACAAAATCGAGATATGAATCTAAAATGAGGGGTTTATCTTGTTTTTTTATCCGGAGAGTGAATCCCCTTTTCTCCTCTGGCAGGGGACGCCATAAGTAGCCCTGCGCTTGCCTCTGTGATACGATGTGCTCCCATTGGACAGTGACGCCGTTGAAGGAGTCTCGGATGCAGTCATTGTTGGCAAGGCCGAAGGTGATGGCGCTGGAATTGACGGCGCGCGTGAGGCTCAATCGATTGCCGGAGATGGAGACGGATGAGCTCAAGTAGAGTTGGACGGCGTTGTAGAGCTCGTTGGTGTTGACGCCGTCGATTTCGGTGATGTCGAGGTAAACATAGGAGGAGAAGCATCGGAAGATTTGGGTGAAGAGTTTGAGGGCGGCGAAACGGAGCTCCGGCGGGAAGATTGCTTGGAAGAGAGATTGAGAGAAGGCGAGGAGGCCGAGAAGTGAGGCCATAGTGGACCAATTCTCCTTCATCCTTGACAACGCCGAAAAGGGGTTATCGGAGATGAGAAGAAGGCGTTGGTTCAAGAAAATAAATGGGGAAAAGGGATTTGGTGGAAGGTTTTATAGAGGAGAGAGAAAGGGGGGTTTAGAGAGAGAGTGGGTGGAGGATGTGGGGAATTGGCTGGCTGGGACAAAGGACAAGGGGAAAAACAAATTGGGTTTTTGGAGTTTATTTCATGGGTAGAGGATCATAGATGGCCTACTTTTCAGATATGATCCGTGTTAGATGATGAAAGTTACACCTCGTCTATCTTTATTAGGTGAGACTTTCTATGTTGGGTGAGGCCTTTTGGGAAGCCTAAAGTAAAGTTAATAGAACTTACATTGAAAGTATAGTCACAAGAGCTTACACTGAAATTAGACAATAAAGTAAAAGTCACGAGAGTTTATACTGAAAGTGAACAATAAAGCAAAGTCATGAGTTTCAGTGGACAATAAAGCAAAGTAATGACAGCTCGTCTTAGAGTGGACAATATCATAAATGCATGCATCTTAGAAAAATTAATAGTTTACCCACATAGAATTTGTTATGTCAAAACATAATTAACTATGAAGTTACTATGATTGAGTTAGGATGATAGCATCTTATTGATCTTAGTATAAATTTTCAACTCTTTAAGTATTGATTATATTCTTATGATCGCTCTTGTTCGGATATAATTTCAGTTCATTAATGTATCTATTATTTACTCGAGTGAGTGTTACAATATATGTGGTTATTTAAATCTATAAATTATATTTATTTAAAAGAAAAAAAAAAGATAGAATGGAAGAATGTTTCAAAATTTGTTTTAAAGAGAGGAAAAGCATGAATTTTTTTTAGAAACGAGATAATATTAGTTAAAATTATATTTTTAATAAATAGAAATTTTAAAAAAATGAGAACCTTCTACGGAAGAGGCTATGGTTATAACGACCTGTGTGTGCTGACCTGGACGGCCACGTGTAATATCCTAAGCTGATTGACTGTTGAAAGCATAATTAATTAATTAATGAAATTATTATAAAATTTGAGGGGGTAATTAAAGGAGTTAGGTAGTATGGATGAAGATGAAGATTGATTAGTGGAAAGGTTCAACCACGTCAGTGACTCAATTCTGGTTTTAATTTAACCTAAGATCCATTAACCAATAATATAATGGTTTTTAATAATGACCTATGCGGTTATCTCGAATTAAAAATATAATTTATTTTATTTAAATATGATGGAAAGAAGAAGAAAATAAGAAAAAGGAGGTGAGGCTGACACACAACACAACATAACTGATAGGAATGAATATGGGTTCATGCGATGTCGTCACTTTTGTTTTCTTGTGTTTCTTAAAATAATATTAATTCCATGGTTAAATGGTGGCCTCTTCGTCTTCTTCCTCTGCGTCTGCCTCTGGGGAGTGGCTCTCTGTCCAAAGCAAAGATCCGAATCGTTCGTTCATTTGGGTTCGGACCCAAAATCCACTCTGCTTGTGCTGATAAAATGGGTCAGACGCAGAGGGTGCGCAATGGACCAACAAAGCAACCCTTTTTGGGGTTTGAGTTAAAAACAGGACTTACCTTACCTTGCCTTACCCACCACGTCAAACGCACAGTACACGTAAACCCATCAGAAACAAACAAATTATACGATGCCTTAAATGTGTTGTTGGAAACAACAACGACAACAACAGAGAATCTCTCTCTCTCTATTGATGTTATTAGGAAGCCGAAGCAGAAACAGAGAAACAGAGGAGCAGAGAAGCAGAAGCAGAAGCAGAAGCAGAAGCAGAGCAGTTGTGAATGGTCCTTCTTCCCTAATCTCTACCTCTTCTATCAATTAAATTCGGAAAAAAAGCTGGTTTTATTTAATGTGGAAAGACATCTATGTCCCTCTCTCGACAAATTAAACAGCATCTTAAAATTCAAACTATAATCCTCAATGTTTGTAGATCTCCTCGAATTTGGCTATGCTTCGCTCACTTACAATCACAATTCGGGTCGAAGTCGATTGGTTTGCTCGCACCTGTCATTTTGTAGTTCAACGATATATATTTTCCCCCACCATAATATAAAGTTGGGGATGTT